TCGAAACTTTTCAGCCAACCTGCGAAGATTATTGGCTTTTGAAACGATATGCGTACTTGGAAATCACCGAATTTCCAATCATTTTACAAGTTTAACACAAATGGCGAATGCTCGAAAGTCAATATAGAACTTCGGCGAATCACGAGGTGACTCCTTTGACCATGGCTAATCACAAATAGCGGCATGAAAACTGGTCAGTAACTCAAGTCACTGAGATTCCGTTTGAATGCCAACGCTGCCGCTTCCGCCCAGTCTGCGTTTCCAATCCCAGTGGTGCTATTCGTTGCGTTAGGTAGTCAATTGTGTGATCATTTTTTAAATTTTTTGGTTGTGTCCCATTGTTCCGCGCATGTTTTCCTTTATGTGGCGTGTGTCTGTGTTCTGGCCGCGATTCTGTTACTCATTTTGTGACAGTCTGCATGCTATTTGCATTCTATTCACGTCTCTTCTTGATGATGCAATTATTTGATGCCCTGATCCATCGAGCGGAAAGCGAACATTGTTAACAAATTTTCACTCAGAGGTCAACTTCGACGGCTGTGTGATTCCCCTCGATAGCAATCTCAGGCTTATTCACGAATTCCATTGAGAAATGAGTTTACCACAAGCTAGTTCATATCTGAGTTATTCAGTCGGTAGCACATCGTTTCCAGAACAGAGAGATGCCAGTTTGAGTCCCAGTTGGGTCACTTATACTTTTTCCATTCTGAACTCGATAAATGAGTACAATTCCGTTGGACGGATAAAGAAGTTTGCGACCAATGCTTACCACATTTCTGCTGTTGACTCTCCTCTTAAAATAAAGGCACTCTTGGCTGATGGCATGGAAATGAAGATCAGCGCAGCCACCATTAAGTTCATTGAGGAAGGACGCCAGAGCGACCCCATCATGAAGGTATAAGGGAAACCACCATTCCAACGTTTAAAATCTTCTCCTTCCTTCCTGTGTCTTGTCCTAATCTTGCTCGTTTTCTGCAGGAGTTTAATAGGGTCGAAGCTGCAGGAACAATTGAGCTTTGATCGAATACCTTCAGTTAATATTTTGTTGTTTAACTGCACTTAAAATAACATCAGCAGTAGTCATAGTGCGAAGGTCAGCGACGACCGACTGCAGTTAGGCAGAAGCACACAGACGACCCCTAAAACAGCCGATCACAGAGGACATAGGGTTGTCCATGAATCAACCGGAACTGCTCGCCTCCTCAAAGAAAAAGATTAAACTGCGACAGCCAGACGACCAAATGTACTTATCAGCGGCACCTTGCAGAGGAACTGCCGTACAGCCAGTTGGTAAACGCGGATTGGTCCTCTAGAATGAACAAGCAAACCTGTTTCAGAAGGAGGAGAGGCAAAGAAAGCACATGATTAAGAATGAGCAAAGGAGTATAAGTAAAAGAATCGAGGGAAAAAGAATGAGGAGAGGAAGTGCAAGAACATGGAAACGAGGAACAGGATGGCATACGTCTGTGCGAGCAGGGAAATTGTTGCTTCGACCCCGATGAGAAGACAGATTAGCATGTACCGTTTTTCTTGTGAAACGAGAAGTTCACCTTTCTTTTAATGACGACTACTTAGTTAACAAGCTAACTTACGCTGCTGTCTTCTTTGTGTTTAGAAGTACATCAGAGACCTAGCTTGAGACATATTTCATATAACGCGACGGCCAAATTCAATTGGTTTCTTTAGAGAAATTTCTTGCTGCAGTTCAGTTTGCCTACGTGGTGATATTGAATAAAATACCTGCACGTTGACTCATCGATTCTAAGGTCAAAGTTTTAATTTCAGTTGAACATGTCTGATATTCTTAGCTTTTTGCCCGCTACTAAATGTGCTGAAACCGCTCTCGAAGTACCAGGAAGTTTCTGTAAGCTGGCAACCTGTGCATTCGCGAAGCATGGCTTTTCGTGCTTAGTTCAAAAGTCATAATGACATAGGTATGTTTGACAAGTTGACCAACATGTATTGCTTAAGCGAGATCGGTGGCTGCGAAAACTTTTGCAGGTGAGTTTGATCTTTCCTCAAGTTTCGTTTCCTGTTACGTAGATATTTTATTCGTTTTGTATCTTTAAAATAGATCACGGATCACTGCTAGACACAGGGGCAAAATTGCACCGAACGCTCCTCAAGAAACGGATACCGTTCAAACGTCACGCAAATATGCATCCGCTTCCATCGGAAAGAACAATTATCCTGCCGTTCCTTTTGTACTAAATATAAACTGTTACAGTCACTGAGGTTACTTAAATGTAGTCCCAGAAAGACAGCTTTCAATAATTTACATCCGCTTATTGTTTGAAAAATTATGCACTACTAAAAGAATTCCTGAGGACAAACGGTGACTAAGTGGAGGTCCCTGCCGATGAATAATCTTTACTTCGCGAGTAAGATCAATATTTCCTAATACTATAGTGCAAAACGTTGAGATGAGCGGACAGCACAAATCTTAAAATGCGTGCCGTTTGGCATGGAGGGTAATTGTAATAAAAATTTATGCAAAACAGAGGGGTAGAATATTCTGATATTGTGAGCAAGTCTTTATGGCTTCACATGATTAATATTCATCATTCACGGAATGCCTTTCTCCCCAACCCTGTCATTCAACTTGAAGATCTAGTAAAAATACTTTCCGATGGTTATAGGGCATTGGCATATGCAAGGCAACACATATGGATGTTTATCTCTTAAAACAAATGCGTATCATGCTGTTCTGACACAGTCTCTATTCAGATTGATGTTTGCCCATCATCATCGCGATCTACGAGAAACAGCGTACGTTCCATGTATTTGCCGCTGTGAGTAACAGAACGAGACACCGCACCTCGTCTGAATTCAGCCATACGTGGCTTCCTGTATAAGGAAATATTTATGCCCTGACACAGTGTACTCGTAATT